CGTTTTTTTTTTTTTTTTTTTTTTGCCACTGACCATCTATATATATAAAACAGAGGATGTCTGTGTGTGTGTCTGTCTGTCTGTGTGATATCTTTTCACTCGAGACCCATCCAACCGATTTTGACCAAACTTGGCACATGCATTATACAATGTAAGTGACAAATTCTTAACGTAAAAAATCGATAATATAAAAAATAATCGATAAAGCTGATCAAAAATCGATAAATTCAACTTATTTCTCCGATTTCAATCAAACTCGGTATGTAGGTTACTTACATCATGACAAGCTCAACGATACCTCAAAATAACTGTGGTCTGAAGTGGGTCTTCATATTGCCAGCTTTAACCCTTCATGTCCTCGGTTAACTTCCATTGAATAAATACAGACTACTTCTGTTATATCAGTAACTGCATTAATTCAAAATGCTTTTTAATGAAAGTACTTTAAATTGAAGAATATAGACTCTGTTATATCTAAACATGATGCTGTTTTTGCTCCATTGTAGTTGAAGGCTTCTTCTGAACGGCCAACTGGGTATGATTGCTCGTAATCACTCAAATTATAATAAAACCTCTTTTGGTTTACTATTAAACTTAGTCTTCTTGTCGTTTCCTTTACTTCTCTTCATCTTATTTCTTTTGTCGGACACGTGACATGTACTTAGGGTGTTAGACAAATTACGCCTAGTGCAGCCTATCCTATGTTTTATTTCCTTATTTCGTATTCAAACATTGTTATAACTGATCCATACACCAAGATATTTATAGTATTGGCCGACAAGATATGCTTGTTAACTACTACTCGGCACTGATACACACAATAAAATATTTACCAAGTGTTTGCCTAGTAAAGCACAAGAAGAAATATGGGTCGGAAGATCATATAGCGCTGACCATTCAACTAAGAATAGACTGAATATCTTTAAAAATCAGCATTCAACATCTTGAATTACATTTTAGCTCGAAATACAAACACGATATATTAGTTGTTTTGGGGTATTTTATTTATTTTTATTATTATTATTATTATTATTATTATTATTATTATTATTATTATTATTTTACGAGAGTCATTAATCAGTGGAGGACACATATTTTATTGAATGATATCTGATGCTTGATTCTAGGTAATTTGAGTGTTCTGAATACGAATTTCAGCTCAGGTCCTGATTCTTGCCAACAGTCTATGTGCCATTTTCAAATTACGACTAAAAAATTATGTCATGTGTTAAATTTGTTTTTCAAGTTTCATGAATACAAGCAGTTCAAACTACAGTAAAATTATATCATAATAGATAGAAATGACTTTAATAATATGATAGAAATAACTTTAAATAAAAAAAAATAAAAACAAACAGATATGAAGCTTTCAATGTGGCACAAATATTCTTTTATAAGACTTTCTAGTGTATTTCCTTGTTGATGGCAGCTCTCCTTTTCAACACCAGCAGTAATCAGATACCATATAGGAATCCCAGCAGCGTTGGTACCATAACTCCATAATTTTGATATCTTGGTGGAATCTCTACCATTATTCGTTACTTACATCACCTAAATGACTTGGAAATTGGTCAAGATGGCTATTTAAAAAAGTGCAGTTTTTATGCTCATATTGGAACCTAACTCTTTTGTAGTCACTTACAATGTTGTTTTTTTACCATTTCTTCGTGGTTATCTGCTCTATAATTGACTAAAATATTTTCTATCAAGTCCACGAATGCGAAGAAGGAATTTCTTTCGTGTTCATTAATGACATCAGTAAAAATGCTGTCTTTAATTAATGTTCTTATTTGTGGAACTCGGCTCTCCGATTCAGTTATGTGCCACGCTTAGGCAATCATTTACCTTTCGATAAATGACTGACGAGGCAGATTTGTTCCCGCAATAGGTTGCCATTTCTTTCTGCAGTAGACCAGTTGCCGTCCTGCTATTTACTCATAGCTGGGGGAGAAGAAGAGGATTCATGCCTTTCCCAAGGGTATTAGTGCGTAAGTGAATGGATTTGACTGGAATTCTAACTCGTCTCTCCGATTCAGTTATGTGCCGTGCGTGATAGACGCTTAGGCAGTCATGTATCTTTCGATACATGACTGACGAGGTAGATTTTTTCCCGCAGTAGGTTGCCATTTCTTTCTGCGGTAGACCAGTTGCCGTCCTGCTATTAACTCATAGCTGGGGGAGAAGAGGATTCATGCCTTTCCAAAGGGTATTATTAGTACGTCGTGAATGTTTTGGTTTCGACTGGAATTCGAAGTCATCTTTCTGATTCCTCAATCTGAGCCGCTATCCATTACTTCACTGTGCCACCGTATATGGTCATAGTTTTCTTCTAATTTTCTTGAGTATCCATTATGCAACAACGCACACTTAAGACTTCTTTTCGAGCTGTGTAAAACCAAGCGTGAATCATTTGCATCTTAAGATTCTGTTGTGGGTTCAGGGATGGACTCCTGTCTCAAATGAATGACAAACGCAGGAATGAAATATAGTAAATAAATGTATTGACGCAATAATACAATTGGTAATACGGTTAGTAGATCCAGAAATGCGGTTAGTAGCAATAATAATATATATACAGTCTGGGAAATTCCGTATCGAAGTAGGATTTCCTTCTGAGTATACGTGCTTGCAACTGTGACTCCTACAAAGCGGTACACACTGGGCGAGTCCACTTGTATAAAAAGTGGTGAACCCCTTAACTGATTCAACCACCGGCTCTTTTAACAAACCCTGTCGCAGTAATAAACTAAACTATCCTCTGTTCTAAAATATTTAAGAAATTCTTTTCTTTTTCTGTAAAATGAAATGTATGCGTTTGAAGTCGGCTAGTTTTCTCTTTAAGCCCTGAAGCTAAGATTTCCGCAGCCTTTTTGGCAAATTTACAAGATCATTCAACTCGACCACGTTGAACTTTTGTGACTCGTTTTGAATTTTCAAATACGCTGTGGTCAAAAATCAGTCTGACTCCTTAGAGTGCATAATAATAGTTTCAGGAACATCTTCAACTAATTCTCGAGTTGGCAGACCATTAAATTTTGAAATGGGGATCTCATTTGAATGTAACACAGGTCGTATCATCGCGGTGTCAAATTTTGTTTACTCGATACAATTTTTATTTTTCTTAATGAAGCTCGAAGTTTTGACAAAGTAAAAGTAGTAATTGGTCACGTGGTTAATAGTCTCTCGCGACACCTGATATGGAACAAATTACAAAGCGTTAACAAAAGTGACGAGAGACTTGTTTTTATGAATTTTATCAAAAGTTATCACCCAAAGATTTAACATTTCTGTGTGTTTCAACCATATGCAATATTTGAGATTCTGATAAACATTTTTTATTTTTGCATTTTTAGGTACCTAAGTTATAATTACATTTATGCAAGTTACAGTATACTAGTGATTAAATTACGTAGTTTTATGAAATCATAGAAATCCCATAGAAAATCCAAAAAGGTATATTTGTATCAAAACATTTCGTCCAGTCTTTCCATGCATATAATGCCGGCTTTATGTGAAGCCCATGTTTTATCTTGGTTATGCAGATTTATGCCAAAATAAGACAAGTAAGTTCTTTTAGGAAGTCAGTTATATTTGATCCTTGCTGTGGAAGTGTAAAATTTCCATATATAAAACAAAAGGAATCAGGATTGTTTTTGCATTTGAATTTTCTTGTGCTTGATGAGAAACTGATTGATTGTTCTGCCAATTTGTAAAGTTACTTAAAGCCCTAAAGTCATATAAATTTAAGAAAATCTGAAATATAAACACAAAAATTGGTTTAAATAGAAACTTATGAAATAGGTACCTACAATCTATGAAATTAAACGAGAAACACGGATGAATCGGTATAATATAAATTATGTCTAATTAAATCAACTATTACATCACAATGACAAAATTACTTACTAAATCATATGCCATTTCGAAATTATGTTAATGTCCAAACTTAATTAACTGGTTTACTGATTGAAGACCAGCAAGAGACCAGAAAAACTGGACATTAACATCAATGGGACCAAGCTAAAGCAAATCAGTGAATCCAAATATCTGGGCAGCATATTTACTGATGCCATCAAACTAGACAGAGGAATCGAACCCAGATATCAGAAAGCGAACGAAGTCAGTTACCAATATGCTCCTCTTCTAAAACATACCAGCATTTCCATGAGCACCAAGGCAAATCTCATCAATGCCATTTTCCTACCAACGCTGACATACTAGTGCCAGACATGGCCCCTAACAAAAATCCTTGAGAGGAAACTGATCACTTGTGAGATGAAATGCCTAAGAAAAACAGTGAAAAAGATCAGGCGAGACAAGATCAGGAATGAGGCAATAAGATATATGGTAGAAGCGATACCAATCATACAACACATCGAACGACAGAGGATCAAGTGGTTCGAACATCTCAATCGTGTGTCTATCAACCAACCAGCCCTACGAGCATACACCCTCAGGTAATCTGGCAGGAGAGTGAGAGGCAGACCAAGAAGACGCTGGAGAGACTCAGTGGCAGACACTCTCAGAGCCCATGCGATATCTCTCCTCCAGGCCACTCATCTTACAGCTGACAGACGATTGTGTCTCCCCGCGTCGCCTAACAGCAAAAGCGGAAGGAAAAACACAAACAAAACAGACTTAATTGGCTGATTAACTCCGGAAACAAGATGCTTTTATATATTTTAGTCGTCCGTCTAGAATATTCTACAGAAAACAGGAACGCTTGAGAAGATTCTAGAATTCTATGATATTTTTAGCTTAATTTTTTAATATTAAAATGGATTAAAAATTGACAAAATTAAAAATATTTTTAGGGTGTGCAAAATCAGGACCTGATAGAGCAAAACCGAATAAAAATTCGTGCTCAGCGCACCTAAATTGGATAGAACTGTCAAATCTAATTCAATAGGCAAAAAAAAAAAAATGAAAATTTTTCCCCACTGAAATGAATCATGGCTTTTCTCATTTTGAAATAGGTCATTCTAATTCTTTCAACCATTCTAATCCCTTCGACCATTAAAATAATCAACGAACAAAAAGAACTTCCGATGGGGAGACTCGGGATCGGATTTCATATCCTGGGAGGGGGTTCGTCTGAACATTGACCACGCCTTCACCAAAACATCAAGAAACTGGAAAATGAAGATTCTAATAAAAGGCAACAAGCAATAACATGTGAAGAATAGTTAAAAATTATTAATAGAAATGTTTAACATCAGAATCCAGACAACAACTAAAAGCTACTACAATGACTACGAAGTAGTTGTTATAAATATTTGTAGATCGCTCACAGTACTGGTTTACCGTAAGGAAACATTGGAATAAAAATCTGAGTGAAGAACGGGTTTAATCACGAGAGGCATGGATTAACAATACAGTAAAAGAGAATACCTTAGTTCAGTGCGGTAAGCGTACGAGTGAAAAGCCCGACGCATTGCGACGACTGTTCCTATGAGCCATCGTTCTACCCACAGCGGATAGGCGAATCCATGTTTAACAACGAGTGTAGAGAAGGTCGGTCATCTTTCTACGCAATATGGAATGAATAGAGTTGGCAAAATGTTATTCATTTAGACCCTGCCTTAAGATTTAGCATCTATAACCGAACTGATTCAGGCATCATTCATGTTAAGCAAGGGAGGCTAAATCTATTATCACGACATCACATTGATTATTTCAAAGGTCGAAGGGTATTCAAAGTAAAATGTTGGGTTGGTGCCCCGTCTACATGAATTTAAACGTGCTTATTCGCTTCTAGGTCCCACCCTTTTACTATTAAAATAGTTAAACCCAACCGTCACTTCTACTCCAATAGTTTCTTTTCTCGCACTTCCTGCCTGTGGACCTCTTTCCTGTTTACTTGCTTTCCTGGTAACTACAATCTTCAAGAATTTAAATGCAACGTCAATCACCATCTTATATCTTCTTGAATCTCGTTCATTTTTTGTCCTTTCATCTATCTTCCCTATACTCAGCCTTTTCTCTTACTTTCACTCTCTGTAATCCCCTTGTGTACTAGTGCTAATCCCGCTTCGCTTGGGGAGTGAAAAGATTAAAAATAAAAATAAAAATTTTAAAAATTAAGAATAAAACGAATAAAACTAATCCAAAATTAATCACGAAAATACGAATTCAGGAAAAAAGATTTTGTTTTTCATTTTGCTTTTTAGAAAAATATTTTGCCCTTGACAGAATTCTCTTCGCCATATACCATTCAGCTGACTCTGATAGCCCTTGTTCTTGAAATTATAATTTGACAAGTAGCGAACCCAAGTTCTGCTCGGCATTGATTTATTGGAAATCGATAATAGTAACGCGTACTCAAGTGCTTTCATATTTTATCTGTGGGGACAACGAACCCCGACACTGTAGAATCAAAAATGCTTCAAACACTGTACAAAAACGTCGTATCTCTGCACAAATTTTGCTCGTTTGGCCTTAGAGGAACTGTTCTGTAAGTAGAACATTCGACTGATATTCATATTCACGTGCGCGTGGTTGTCTGTTTTTTAGCTGGGAAAAGTCGTTTCCTAGAACCAAGAGTCATTAATTGACACGTTAGTGATACGTATTAGAAGACACCATAATTGTATGGTCGGTGGTTTCATGTTCTGATTGGTCGATTCCGCCAAGAAAAATAACGCTTACGACCTATCAAGGTAGCCATCACCGGAATTATTGAAACAGACAGATAATCAAACTGGAAATTGTGCGTGTGTGTGCGTATATATATATATATATATATATATATATATATATATATGTGTGTGTGTGTGTGTGTGTGTGTGTGTGTGTGTGTGTATGAGTTATATATATATAATAAAAATACACTTAAATTAAGCTATAGTTTAGTTGTGCAGACAATCCTGAAAAATTATTAAAAACACAATAATAAAATTTTAAATTAGCACTTAAACCTAAGTAAAAATCGCCATTCCAAAGCAGCAAACAATAAAGACATCAACTTATGCAATTGTAGAAATCCTAATGACTGTCCATTACAAAATAGTTGTCAAACAGATTTCCTTCTTTACCTAAGTACTATTTCATCTAGAGAAAATCCAACTGTTAAAAAATTTTATATCGACAGTAACAAAAATTATTTTAAACAATACGTACCCTAATAGAACGTCACCTTTCTAAATATTTTTGGCATTTAAAAGAAGTTAACAAAACTACTACGGTAAAATGGAAAATAATAATAAAAAAAACTAGAACTTGTAATTCCTTACATGATCTATGTTCCCTGTGTTTACAAGAAAAATTGCATATTATAAAGTTTGCTAACAAAAAAGCTCTGTTAAAACAAAGCGTGTAATGCCGGCATTGTCTACCTTTTACCTTAAAATATAGTTTTAAAATTTAATAAATAATTACGTATTGCAATTGTATAGCCATTATTTTATTAGTATATAAAGTCCACCCAATATTTATTTGATTTATTCAACTTTAATATTGACATGTTTTACAGTCTATTCAGTATAATTAGCATCGTATAGATGTTTCACATTTTTAATTTTACCTATTGACGCTTTAAGAAGATTCCGCAGTATATATATATATATGTATATATATTATAAATTAATTGATTTAAAATATGTTTTTTTCCGCTACACAGTTCTAACCATGTTTCAAAAATAGAAGCTAAAAGCCCCGAATTTAATTTTGCAATTAAATTAAAAGCATTAGTTCCATTTCATCTTCAAGCGAATTTTGGAGTAACTTTTAAAAATTACTGGGTTTTAAAGACACAGCTAAAATCACGTTTCCATAGTTACAGAATATTCTACTTCAATTGGACAAGGATGTTTATATATATATATATATATATATATATATATATATATATATATATATATATATATATTTTTAATTTGTTTCTGATTTATGTCTACTTCAACAAATCGGAATATCATACTTGGATTCATCCATAATATATTTTTCGCTGTCATGTTTCCTACGACCATTGGATAGCATGTCCAAACATCAGTTTATCTTGACATGAAAAAATAGCCCACCCACCTTCAACCTCTGACTTTATTTTTCCATTTTAGCTTAGATCTGACTTTTAATTTGTTAATCTAGACATACCCACAAAGTATGTTTTAATTCTGACTTTATGTCCCCTTTAAATTCCGAAAAGAGATAACGATTTATTTTTAAATTTCATTAAATTTCAAATAAATCACTTTTATCACAAGTTATCTGCCATCGCCCGAGGAAGTAGAATCATAGTATTGTAACATGAAAGCTTTTGTGTAGCGAAGTAAAATGTTTTTATTGTAATCTATTATAATAAAAATATTATAATATATATATATATGTTTGTATGTATATGTGTGTGTTTGTGTGTGTGTATTTGGGCGGCAAATTCTCTTTTAGGCATGTCTGTTTAAATAAATTACAAACACTTACTTCTCAAGTACTTGTGAAATATATGTTTGTAATTTATTCCCAAGTACTTGGGAAATAACTGTGAATTTCACTGTTACAGCGTATTTCTTGCATCATTTGATTGTAATACACGAAAAAATATCCGTGAATATAAATGGATTATATATATATACAATTGGTATATACGGAATGAATTCCAATAACCAACAATTACTATTCTTAAAAGAGTGCTCAATACAAAGTAGAGCAGATATAATTATTTTATAAAAAAATTATAACATAAGTACTTATGTTATAATTTTTTTGAAAAATAATTATATATATATATATATATATATATATATATATATATATATATATATATATAGCTAATATTAGTGGTAAATAAACACATATATATGTAAAATATATAAATATATATACATAGGTGCATACACATAGATGTATATTTTTTTGAATAAAAAATTCCAAGAGGATAGAATCCAGGTAGAACTCAATATCTAGGACAGAATAAGGATATAATAAAAAGGCTTAAACACTAATATTCCATGGTCATAATTTATTCCATTGGAATCGTCCGCCCCATCTCTCTCCCCCACCCCTTTTTCTTTTCTTTTCCTCTCCCTCCCTCTTCTTCTGATCTTTAAGATTAGATCGTCTATTGTGTATGTATGTCAACACGAAATTAATGTTTAATGTATTAGACATCCGACAACATTCATATTTTTCTCACTTAAATCCCTTCAACTCACCTCTCTAAAACTTCTCTCCGTTAAGGTTTAATCTTCCACCTTCTCTCGTCTGTTACCCCTCTCTTTAGCTCTAACATTCGTCTCACACTTTCATACTTACACTGTCTCTAAATTCTATTTTTACTTCCGGGGTTGTTTTTTCTGTTTTCTTTTTGAATTTGTAGGTCTGATGAATTGGATCGGATTTACGATTCCAATAGAATAAATTATGACCATGGAATATTAGTGTTTAAGCCTTTTTATTATATATCTATATCTATATATATATATATATATATATATATATATATTAAATAAATTGTCTGTTTATTTTTTTTTTCATAATCCGTTTATATTCAGGGATATATATATATATATATATATATATATATATATATATATATATATATATATATATATATATATATATATACATAATATATATATATATATATATATATATATATATATATTGAGGAATCGGAGAGTCGCGTTCGAATTCCAGTCGAATCCATTACATTCACTTACGTGCTAATACCCATAGAAAAGGTGTGAATCCTCTTCTTCTCCCTCCAGCTATGGGTAAATAGCAGGGCAGACTGGATTCTAGGAGAAGGACAACTCTGTGATGGATAAATTGTCGTCTAAATTATGCAGAAATGAAAATGACACTGACATCTCATTTTAACAGATATATTTACCAAAATTACACAAAATAACTTGAAATACTAAAGAGTAAATTTATTCAATAAGATCACCATTGGCTTCAACCACTACGACGTTTGAACCTCATACATCACTTCTGGACGGTCTTCTAGTTTAATTTCGTGAATGATGCCATAAACCTTACCTTCAGTTGTTCATCTTTCGTTTTACAAGGAGTTTTGTTGCTCTCTTGCTCAACTACGCCTCACACATAATAATCAAATGGGGGTTGTAGTCTGGGAAGTTAGGTGGCTAGATGTAAGGGGTGATGTAGTCGCAGAAATTGTCTGACAGCCACGACTGGGTTCTCCTGCTTGCGTGGCATAGTGCAGAGTTGTGTTAACAGACATATGGTCTTCCAGCAGCCACACTCTTGACCCAGGGCAGCACTACCTCTTCAAGTAACTTGATGTCGGCCTCCGTGTTGAGTCTTATTATAAAAGCAAATTAACAGACAAATATGTGGAAATTGTTACATAATGAGAAGTAGGTATTGAAGTTTTAACTAATTTAATCCACTTCTACATGGGTACCATTAGTTGCATGAAGCACATCAAGACTCGTACTCGATTTCTTGCCATGTTCACTGTAGCATAGCCGCATTAGTTGTGGCAATGGCATCAGTGATGTCCCGTATCTTTGTTCGATACACGATATCTTTAGCATAGCCCCACAGAAAGAAGTTCAAGGAAGTGATATCTAGTGAACGAGGTGGCCAGGGAATTGAGCCATTCCTTCCAATCCACTGTTCTGTAAATGTTGGGGTTCACTTAACAGCACCTCTTTCATCAACAGGATATACCTGAAATACACAAATATAATATAATTAAAAACATATTAAACTCTCTACAGGAATGACAAATAAAAAGAAGAAATATCTCATGGTGTCCATAAAGTCTCTTTACAATTAAAAACTATTACAAAAGCAAATGAACAGATAAATATGTGGAAATTGTTTCAAAATGAGGAGTAGATAATAAAGTTTTTTTTATCTGATATATCCAACTCTATATGGGCAGCATTAGTTGTACGAAGCACATCAAGACGGTATTCGAATTCTTGCCATGTTTTCTGTAGCATAGCATCATCAATAGTGGCAATGGTATCAGTGATCTTTTGCTTTAGATCATTAATGTCCCATATTTTTGTTCAATGCCCGATATCTTTAACATAACTCCATAGAAAGAAGTCCAGGGGAGTGATATTTGAACGAGATGACCAGGGGATTGGACCATCACTTCCAATCCATCGGTCTAGAAATGTTAGGGGTTCCTTTAACACCACTTCTTTCATCAACAGGATACCTGAAATACACAAATTCAATGTGAGTAAAAACCTTAATAACTACTGCGTACATAGAACAATTCTTATTAAGATATCTCATCAATTTCCTTTGGAATATATTTTTTTTAAATTGTAAAGAATCTTTATGGACACTCTCTCTCTCTCCCTCTCTGTCTCTCTCTCTATATATATATGAGGTAGATAATATATATATATATATATATATATATATATATATATATATATATATATAAAAATATACTTTTAAAGGTATATTCTATTTATTAGTAAAAGTGATCAATATCAGAGATAAAGAGTATGTAAATATAAAAGTAGATACTGACGTCAACACCAAGTGGTAACAGACTGTTTCATGCTTGAACGCGAATGTCAATGTCCATCTGCCATATATATATATATATATATATATATATATATATATATATATATATATATATATATATACGCACACACACACCCTTGTGCAAATTAATTGAAACAAAACGAATAATTCCGTTATTATTTACATTTTTTCGTATTTTTTCAATGAAACATGACCCAGTGCACGTATCCGTATTCGTATGTCCATTCCACGAAGTCGTTCCTTACAGATTGACCACAGATTCTTGATTGGATTTAAATCAGGAGATATTCCTAGAGAGTCGATACTACTTTGATTTATTCACTGGTAAAGCTTGCCATTGTCTTTCGTGCAGCGTTACAATTATTGTATACTTTCTTGGAATAATGTCCATCGCACACAATGGCCGTAAGACAACTAATCGACAATAGTGTCTTGGCGTGATGAAAATCTGATGCAATCACAGATGACGCAATATTTTTCAAGGTCAAAAAAATTTCATCTTACACCCCGAAAATAGATTCATATTACTGCATAACACTGCAAATAACCTAATCTAAGATAAAAATAGAAATCGATTACATCCTGTTAATCCAGTGGGTCTAAAACTGACTGTGTGGTGAAAGAAAGTAAAGTAAAGCGGTTGTTTCAGTTAATTTGCACAAGGGTGTATATATGAATAAAGAAAAAAAGGAAAAATTTTCTTTACCGACGCGTTTCGTCCTCCGATGGACTTATCAAGACTCATTTGTCTTGATAAGGATTTTATTTGGGAATTTTTTTTATAAACAGAAGTAAAAAAAATATCGTTAAGTTTTCAAAAATTTTAAATTGAAGAATTCTCAAATTAACTGCGAAAGTCAAGGTAAACTATGGAGGAAACTAAGTGATATAATTTAATGCCTAATAAACGAAAGTCTGTAAATGTTGCTGTTGACTTTATTTTTTATTTGCTTATATTGATTTACTTTTTTTTATTTATTAATGTAATTATTATATATTTTTTATTTTAATTATTATATATTTTTATTTTAATTATTATATATTTTTATTTTAATTATTATATATTTTTTATTTTAAATATTATATACTTTTATTTTATTTTGATAAAGTATTTATGTATTTATTTATTTATTTTAAATAATGGAAGGTTTTGATTTAACCTTTTTGTTTTAAGGTTTTCAAATTTATGGAAATGCACGTTGGCTTGCGAAAGAAATATTTCTTTAGGAGGAAAGGATGTATTTGAAATAATCCAGGGTGCGCGTTAAAATTTGGCATGACTCTCAAGAACATTCCGTCTAAGTAAGTTTTCTTTTAATGAATACAACATTCTTTAGATTGAAATTGTATGTATATATGTATACACAAGAAATTTGAAAATGTTGGAATTTCAAAATTATTTTTTTTTATTTTATTTTTTTTTTTTGCAATTATGTTCATCTGGAAGATAACGGTCAAACCTTGATTTAATAGATTATAGTGATTGGAGAAACAACATCTTGGGAGTTAGTTGTACAATGTTCATTCGAAGAAGCTGCTTGAGTGGAACTTACATCTCATCAAAGGAATATGAAAGGGAATGAGAGGGGGGGTCGCTACAATGTCGTTCACATGGCGGGTTTTAGCTGTGAGGGTTAGGAGGTTAGTTCATTTGAGCACTCTCCGTGGAAATAGCGACAGACCAGCGAGAGACTTGCGATGTCTCGTCTGTGAGAAAAGGGTTGCAGAGTGAAACACACAAGGATTTGGAGATGCTTTTGCATTCTATCGAGAGTGGGAATTGAAGATTGGGCAACTCCTGCCCATGTATAGCAGCATTACGCCATCTTTTAGGCCTGGTATATCTCTAGACAGAACGCTCCCTGTACCTCACGAGGAGTGAGGTACAGAGAACCGACCACTTTTCCATCATCTTTCGCTATCGTAGGCACGAGTTCCACTTGAAGTCGGCGCAAAATAGACACTCAAGGTACGAGGCCACCCTGAGGAAATATCCGTTCATCGGTGATTGGTAAAAGATTTCGGTACGATCGGCGATGGTGGATGGTCACTAGTTTGGTTTTTGAGGAATTAAATTTTTTTCAGTTTTTCCCAACTGACCTAGGTCAGAGGAGGGATCATTTGCAAGGGTCATCGAGCGTTTTGAAGGTGCATTCATATACCGTTGTATCATCAGCACTTTTTTTTATCCCGTGACCCGTAGGGTCGTAGGGGCACTATGTGTACTGCAACCAAAGTAGAAGTGGTGTTTCTCGAGCAGGATAACCTAACAGAGCCCAACACTTCAGAGATTTCCTTTCTCCTAGACCGGTTGCCACCCAGGGATATAGAACCCAGTCCTGCTAATTACCATTATCTGGAGTGGGGGGAGAAGAGTATTCCTACCGTTCCCAAGGGTATTAGCACTATAGTGAATGTAATGAAATTCCTCAATCCGAGCCGCTATCAATTACACTACCGTGTCTCCCCACCCCCTATCAGAATAGATATTCCAAAATGATTGGAGGTTAAATTTTTAACCAAATCATAATTTGCGCTTTTTAGTTTAAATACAAACTGTATGAAAAGATTCGATAAAAATTTATACACACTGTGTCAATTTAATTATTTTAACTTAATCTTTTCAGTTCATTATGATATTCTATTGTGTATAAAACTTTGGTAAGTCCGACGTGGTATCTTCCCCCCACTCCAAAATTTCCGCAAGAATCAATACTATTGAATTAGTCACGTGAGCTGAATTACTTTGAAGTCATTAGTCTTTCGTTTATTTTTCATTTATATATTTATTGATTGATTGTATTGATTTATTTTACTTTTATTTTTATTCTTTATTTATTTATTTTGAAATTCTTTCCAAACTCCTGAAAAAAAAACAAACATTTTTTAATGATTTTGTTAAATTTTAACTCACTATTTTTCTCTCTTTAATTTTCTTCTTCGCATGTTTCACACCTTATGAGAGTTAAAACTGTTTAAAAAAGTAAAGTTCCCATTTTTTAACCTCTTTTGTTTTTTGCCCTCTTCTTCTTCTTCTTCTTCTTCTTCCTCCTCTTCTTCCTCCTCCTCCTCCTCGTCCTCTTCTGCTGCACTTTTCCTGTTTCGTTTTATGACACGCTGTCCACCACATATATAAATCAATGCCTCCGCGGCCAGTGCAAATATTTCGTTAGCCTGTTCTACATCTATTAACTCAACCCTTTCTCTACTTTCCTTTTCCAATGTAGTTCTCCTTTTACTTCTCTTCTTTGCATTGTACGCCATTCTTCTATTTATGGATACAATATGAGAACGTAGCAGAAAAGCCAGAGACTGAGACAAGCAAATCATAATTTTAAAATTTGCAAACAAAATTGGTTTGCAATTCACTAAAAAGGGCATACATACACACAACAATGAAACAATACGAGATAGATAGATAGATAGATAGATAGATAGATAGATAGATATGAAAAAAATACATATATATGAACATAGATAGATAGATAGAAACAGAATAAGATAGATATAACCAGACTGAGATAGATAGATAGATAGATAGATAGATAGATAGATAGATAGATAGATAGATAGATAGATAGATGTGTAAAGACTTAGATAAGTCGGTACATGTAAATGGATAGATTGAAAGATACAAATAAATATCTGAATAGGCAAGAGAGACGGATAGGAGTAGACGACCATAGATAAAGAATAGCCACCAATTAGGTAGAATGAGAGTCTGCCATAGATGCTGTTATCTGCGTTTATTTTCAGCATTTTAATACAATATTGCTTCTGCATCTAAAGAAGGTTATTTGGCAGCAGAAATCTTGGGCAGAAATCGGGAATTAGAAAACTCAGCAGTCGTCTGAATGATTTTGGTCACTACGTTAAGCATAAATTCAAACAAAGGATTTAGATTACAAAAGGAGAGAGACAAAATTGGCATCTGCCTCTTGAATCTAAAAAGATCTCGATGCTAAAAAAAATATATATATTCATTAATATATATATATATATATATATATATATATATATATATATATATATATATATATATATGTTGCGAAGTGTCATTTTGTGATGAGAGAAACTCTCTTTCAATTATTAGCGGTAAATCCGAAATGAAATTTAATCTGATCCTTGTGGTTGACGCTAGCCTTATAGATACCTTCTTTCTATATGCATTTACCCTTTATGGGACAGAGGGTACCTTTACGACAATTACATTTTTGATCATCAGGGCTACCATTGTTACTAGTGCTGCTTAAGTATTTCTTAAAGGGTTACACTATTATTTTGGACTTTTAGTGCAACTGTAGGCAACCTTAACGTTGTTCTTGTTGAAGATTTTTCTGAGAAAGGGATTATGACCAAATGTTCGTGTACTAATCTATGAAAGATTCTACCAATGTTGGTCCTGGCGTTACTGTTGAAGGGTGGATTAATAGTAACTAATAGGAACCAAAATGAGCTCAGCTTATTACATAAAATTGAGAGTGTCGTGGTTTGAATGCGATGGAAGCTATTTTTCACCAAAAGAGAACACCAAGACGAATGTGAAACTATCGACTTCATTGGATTTAAGTCCCTGAAATCACCGCCTAGCGATGACCGCCTCCTTGAATTCGAACCCTAGCCCTGCCTAACCCTAACCCTAAAATATTCCCATGCCATGTCGAATGGTTTCACGAGCGCCCCTGCATTATTGATGTAAGCTGCATAAACCAATTATTTTAGTTGGCTCCATATATAAAAATCCAAACGATCTTTTCATGATAGATGTCAGCCAGTGCTTTACGAACAATGTGACGAACAATGTGAATAAAATGTGCTGAAGCATGAACCACATGTGTCTTTGTATTAGCAGGGGTACATCCTCTAGCAGGTCTGGAAGTGTGTTCGTAATAAAGTTGACACCCAAGCACTCTGAAATGTTCGTATTTGAGCTTCCGGTGCGAATGCCAAGCAGTAAAGCATGCCGTTTCCAAATTTCTGGTGGTGTGGATTTCGTCATTGTACTCTTTTTCTAACTGACCTTACTATACACTGCAGTCGACAATATATATATATATATATATATACACTGCAGCCGACAAAGTCAAAACCAAACAATGCGCATGCGTGACATTAATATATAAAATTGCGACAATTTACCCATCGCACCATGTATATATATTAGGTAATTAATTGACAAGAGGAAACATTCTATGTAGCGCGTTTCGTCTTCATAAAGGACTTCATCAAACTAAATTAATGTTGAAATTGATGGAATTATATGTACGTCGTAGGTGACAGGGTAATACAAGTGTAAACGTCGGCTATAATTATGTACCGAGTGGAAACGCTGAAGATGTTTCTTTTTTTTTTCTTTTTTTTTATTCGGTCGATCTAGCTCGGACATTCATCAGCCTATCCTGCTAACCATCACGGTCCTGCATCATGGTTGAAAGGTCATTAGGGCGGCATTCTGTGTAATATCAGAGCTGATTAATCTAGGTGATTGCTGGTCGACCAGCCCGTCTTGCTCCATGGCGAGGTGTCCTAAGCCGTAGATCACACGCGTGTTCTCGTTTTGCTCGCCAGCAATGTCCTGCGAAGCGTATTCTGCGTTCACATAAGTTTGTGGAAATATCGGATGTGTCCATAGATCCGTGATTTAGATGGGTGTTGTCACCAAGAGATGTTAAGTATAGCTCTCAGCATCCGAGTGTAAGTTCCATCAAGCTTAGACTCTAGAGTTTTAGTTAATGTCCTAGAATTGCCACCATACATTAACACTGCCTCTAGAGTGGCTCGAAAAGAATCTCTGTTTGAGGTTGTCTGGAAGATCAGACTCTCAGATTACATCCATTTTATGCAAGGCAACCCAGACTTTACCTATGCGAAATTTCACATCTTTTTCAGTAGAGTTTATTTCGCTTCCTAGGTATGTAAAAGATTCAACAGATTTTATTGATTAACCTGAAACAGTTTGTATTGAGCCTTGCTGGTTGAAGCTTATGAATTCAGAGGAACGCTAAATTTTAAAAAGAAAGTTTGTATTGAGCCTTACAGGTTGAGGCTAATGAATTCAGAGGAACGTTAAATATAAATTTTTAATTTTTTAATTTTAAGATTTTTAATTTATAGCGTCCTACATGTCAGGAAACAAAAGCTGATCTCATTTGGTTTCCCAAGATTTTTTGTTTTTATCGCTATGGAATATTGTAAGAACATAAATTTACCATGCTGTATTCAGAAATCAGTGCACTTTTTATACATTGTCACCTTAGTAAATTACTTTCTCTTTTAGCAGCATTTTAAATTCAAAATTATGGTCAGACACATTAGGATTAACGGCAAATTCAGTTAGTATATTCTTTTGTAAAAGCTCTCTTTTGATAAAAAAAATATAGTTTTCAGGTATGCTGTATTTATGGGTTAAAGTGCTCAACATCAGGGATACCCCAGTTTCGACTCTCACCACCCATAAGCCACCCACATCAGAGGAAACAAAAACTTGGTGAGTTGAGTTACTAAAAGGAATTAACTGAAACTAAGATATCCAAAAAGGACATGGCACGTGGAATTAGAACAATCTACACCCGTGGAAGGTTTCAGTTTAAAATTCCAACGTATATCGCCTGAAGAAGGACGGAGCGCATAACGGCCGAAATGCCGTCAATATAGCAATAAAGATAAGAACAACGATATAAAAAGTGTAAATCAAAGATAGAACGCGTAGAAATATAAAAGCGGGCATTGAAGACAACAGCCTGCGTCGACCGTCTGTTTCATGCTTAAATGCAGTCTTCAGTCCATGTGTGTTGAGTTTTGACTCGACTATTTATATATGCGGTTATGTTGTTATTTGTAGGTATTTTATATATATATATATATATATATATATATATATAGGTGTGTATGTGTGTGTGCTAATTGTTAAAGTAAGGTTAACCCCAAGCATTAACAGTCTGTTTCATGCTTGAAGGTATCCTTCAGGCTATGTGTGTTGTATTTTGGCTCGACTATTTATATATGCTGGTAAATGGTGCATTATGGGTAGCAAGGTCTGGTATGTTGTCCTAACGGTTATTGAGTAGGCAGTAACGGTTATGTTTCAAATTATTCTAGAGGCTATAAAGTGGGAATAATTGTGGATCCAAATGCAGATATTTGTAGTTATTTTATATTGTTGTTAATTGCTTACTTGTTATTTATTATTGATTACTTAATTATTTGTTGTTGATTATACACACACACACACATACATATATATATATATATATATATATATATATATATATATATATTATATATATTAGACATTTAGTTATCCAAATTCTAAAAATATTGCCAGCAATATATTTTTGAAAGAAAAAATATTAGCAGCAATAAAAATCTTGTCGGCATTAAATAACCAATAATCAATAATCATCGATATGCAATGAAACAAACCAAACCAAACCGATATGTAGATTATTATATCATACATCTACATCCCCCCCCCACACACACACGGATACATAGATGTTGTGATATTTTGAAAACCTTTTAGTGGTGCTCACCAATAATGAAACTAATAAGGTAGCGAAAATTTCTTTTCCTTCTTATATTCTCCTTCTTCGGATAAGCAAAGCAGACTATCTCTCACATGCAAGCATATCCCTGAAACGTACGGGTTTTATATCTCTTGTAGATCCTGCATTTCTTGTTTATGTACATTGTTTCTTTTCAGAATTTTTTATTTTCCTTCTTTCAATGATTTTTTCTGTCTTTTTTTTTTATAGATCTGTAGGGACATTATAATCATTAATAAAGAAAATTAAAATATAAAATAATAATAATAATAAAGAAAATAAAAAAAATTAAAACAGTTACATTAAAATTTTGTTTCAAATAAATTATATAAAAAATAAAAATAATAAAGTTTTCCTCACATGCAATAAAAACTGTTCCCGCGGAAAATACCGACATCCGGCCAAAAGACGCTGAATTCAGTCTCTCTGCCAATAGCCTTGGGACAGTCAACACGTGTCCAACATCTCTCTCTGTGACATAGCGTGTAATAATACGAAGTAACTTCTTCCTTTCATTACATGCACTATGAAACATTTGTAACCAAAAATACAGACACCAGTACACATAAAAAATAAATTGTATGATATGAATGCACAATTTACCGTGCTTTCACTGTTATCCTTTGTCTGTTTTATTTCTGTGATATATGCTTTTTATTTCCCGTGAACAGGAAACTATTTCTGCTGCTATGATGTGAATGAACCCCACAAATGTATCATTTCCTCTTGGATATCTCGGTCTTGATGGTCCTATTTTGTACTCAGGATATTTTTTCTTCCATTGTTACACCTTCGTCGGGCGTTTCGGATTCTTTTGTGTGCTGCTGCTAATCTGCAACTATGTCTTCATTTGTTTCATTCTATTAGGGTCATGTTTAGTTGTTGGTCTGCGAAATCATCATTAAAAGTGCCTATGGAAAACTCTTCGTCCTTTTCACGTCGTATTCTTTCACAGGATTTAATTTGATCATCATGGGCTAATATGCTGTTCCTATTTTTAATAACGAGCGTGTTGATCCTTTTTTGCATTGTAAAATTGGTCAATTCCACATCCGATATATTATCCATTTTATAGATAGATAGATAGATAGATAGATAGATACATACATACATACATACATACATACATACATACGTAGGTTTGAAAGGCATGAGATAGATAGATATGAAAAGTATGAGATGGATAGATAGATATGAACAGAATAAGATATAACAGACTGAGATAAATAGATAGATAGATAGATAGATAGATAGATAGATAGATAGATAGATATGAACAGAATAAGATATAACAGACTGAGATATTTTTATAATGACCGTGTTGTTCATTTTTTACATTTAAAATTGGCAAATTCCAAATCCGATATATTATCCATTTTATAGATAGATAGATAGATAGATAGATAGATAGATACATACGTAGATAGATAGATAGATAGATAGATAGATAGATAGATAGATTAGATCGATAGATAGATATGAAAGTATGAGATGGATAGATCAGAATAATTAACAAATTTTAGATAGATAGGATAGATAGATGGATATGAACAGAATAAGATATAACCTGATAATAGATAAATACTAGATAGATAGATAGATAGATAGATATGAACAGAATAAGATATAACAGACTTATTTTTATAATGACCATGTTGATCATTTTTTACATTTAAAAATTGGCATTTATATTATCCATTTTATAGCTTCATACATACATAGATAGATTTGAAAGGTATGAGATAGATAGATAGATAGATAGATAGATATGAAAAGTATGAGATGGATAGATAGATATGAACAGAATAAGATAAACAGACTGAGATTTAGATGATAGATATGAAAAATGAGATGGATAGATGAATATGAACATAAGATATAACAGACTGAGATAGATAGATACATTAGATAGATAGATAGAACATACATGGATGTTTAAGATATAACACACTGACAGATACATAATGATATATGTCCATTATTTTTATAATGACCATGTTGATCATTTTTTTACATTTAAGAATTGGCAAAATTCAAATCCGTTATTATCCATTTTATAATAATACATACATTAGATAGATTTGAAAGGTATATATATATATATATATATATATATATATATAAAAGTATATAAGATAAACAGACTGAGATAGATAGATAGATAGATAGATAGATAGATAGATAGATAGATAGATAGATATGAACAGAATAAGATATAACAGACTGAGATATTTTTATAATGACCGTGTTGTTCATTTTTTACATTTAAAAATTAAAGCCAAATCCGATATATTATCCATTTATAGATAGATAGATAGATTATGATAGATAATACATACGTAGATTTGAAAGGCATGAGATAGATAGATAGATAGATAGATAGATAATTAGATTTGAATAGAAATAGATAATTATAATTACAGAATAAGCTTGAGATAGATAGATAGATAGATAGATAGATTAGATTCCAGAAAAGATTTCTGAGATAGATAGATAGATAGATTAGATAGATAGATAGATATGAAAAGTACTGGATAGATTTTATAACAATAGATATTTTTTATAATGACCGTGTTGATCATTTTTTATTTAAGTTTGGCAAATTCTTTCCGATATATTATCCATTTATAGATAGAAACATACATACATAGATAGATTTGAAGGTATGAGATAGATAGATTTTAGATAGATAATATAGATAGATAGATAGATATGTCGTAGTTTCCTCCTCCTTAATTCCCAAAATTTTCACTAGGGGTCACTCTCCTATAATATAAATACTACTCCTTCGTTCTTTTTCATTTCTTCTTTTCAGCGATTACAATGTAAGCTTTCTTCCCATTTGGGAGAAAAACATGAACATTATACACACACACGTACGTACGAACATTCCCCAAGAACAGACACCAATGTTTTTTGTAAAATTGTTTTGTTTAATACATATATTTGTTTATTTATATATATATATATATATATATATATATATATATATAATTATTTATTTGAAAATATGCACGCAAAACTTCAATATAATTATTTGAATTAAATTGAATTAAAGTACACTCTGTTCAGAAATAAGTTATTCACAAAATTTTCACACACAGATGGACAGAGCACGGTACTTTAATTCAATTTAATTCAATAATTATATTAGTTGAACGGCAAACATGAGAACTCTTATGTAGCGTCTTGGAATCATATTTTAAATAAATAATTATATTTATGCTCTACTTGTGTATTGAGCACTATTTTTAAAAATAATAAAAAAAATACACACAACACATTTTCACACACACACACACACACACACACACACACACACACACACACACAGAGAGATATATATATATATATCGGTTTTGTTTTTCTTTATCTTCAGTTGGACTTAATTCAAGTCCGGTCATTTTCTTGTAGTTGGACCTTTTAATATTCTACCAGGAGTTACACACGTGTTTCTAATACTACAACACGTAAACACTCACGGTCGTCTACAGATCGATATGAAAGGTATGAGATAGATAGATAGATATGAACAGAATAAAATATAACAGACTTAGATAGATAGATAGATAGATATATGAGCAGAATGAACTCAATAGATATTGATAAACAACTGTGATCGTGAAATCAAACAAGTCTGCAATTGCCTCGATATTTTATACTTTTCTTATGTTTTCATTTTTCCCGACATGCTTTGCTTTATTATGACGTTCGCTTTCTCTCACAGTAACCCCCTCCTCCTCCTTCTTCTTCTTCTTCTTCTTCTTTCCCCAGCACTTGTATATGCATGTGCTTACCTTGTATACCGTATCGACGTTTAATAAAAGCAGCTGTGATATCATTCTCCAGCAAATACCTCCTGTAAATGAGTCGTTCATCTGATCGAAAGTGGATAGGATACACAATCACAGACAGAATCGAGCTGTTTCGGTGCCAATTTTCTTTGATTACAAGTACACTTCTTCCTGCACTTAAAAGAGACGGTCAATGTATTTCCTGATGTTTGCGGTAAATACCAATTGGCCACAGTGAATTATAAATTTAAGTGAGTCATATTTTAAAGCATAAAAAATAATGAAAATAAATAAATCTCTATCTATAAAAGGAAGGATGTGTGTGTGTGTGTGTGTGTGTGTGTGTGTGTGTGTGTGTGTGTGTGTGTGTGTGTGTGTAACGAATGCACGGCCGCAATTTTCAATGGATTTGCACCAAAATTTACATGTACATGCTCCAAGTAGCGGGAAGGCCAAGACCGACTTTGCATTTCCCAACTTCCATCGATAGTGGAAATAATAGATTTTTTCATGCTTCTACGGCAGTTTTCATGTAGTGAGTGAGGGCCAATAGCTGGCTGCCACGAATCGGCAGGAAGATTCTATTGGTCAGCGTGAGAGCCAACAGCTGACTGACACGAATATTAACTAGCATGCAAAAAATCGATAGCTGCATTCGTCACAAGTGGGAAAAATTTAAATCTGCATGGCACTTTACTCCAATTGGCTCATTCGCTTGCTTAAACTCAACGTTGATTCTGATTCTGATTCCGCAGAACTGGGTTGAGTGTGAAAAAGTATTTGTTGTTAACATTCTTTTTTCATTCGTTTTTTCCAGTTACGAGTCCTTCATTTTGTTTAGTTCTTTTTTCGTAACAGATTTAATGTTTAGTATAGAGCTTAGAAAAAATTCGCAGTGTGAGATAGGCAAGAAGTAAGGCGTGTAGCAATATCATCACGGCAAAGGGCACTCCTTTAGTGGCAAGGAAGGGCAAAAATATTTTAAGTCAAGTGATAGCGATTGCTATATGAGTTGAACGATTTTTGAATCAAGCACGAGCAACGCCGGGCCATGCTGCTAGTCCTCCATAATTCTGATTCTTTAACCTCAGTGGATACAATAAAACATTTAGAATTAATCAACTCTCCACGAGTTCTCGTACGTTAAGTAACGTTGAGCCAGGTCAGTACCTAAATGGGTGAATATCAGGTGCTGTTAGTTTAGATGTGCGACTGGTGTAAAGGATAGACATGAACATAGATAGATGAGCTGAGATAGATAGATAGATAGATAGATAGATAGATAGATAGATAGATAGATATGACCAGACTAAGCTAGCTAGCTAGATAGACAGATAGATAATGAATAGAATAAGATAGATATAAACACACTGAGATATTATACACACTCGTTAATCGGAGTTCCAATTCCAGTTTGGTTCGTTATATTCACTTACGCGCAAATACTCTTTGGAAAGGTATAAATTCACACCTTCTCCCCAGGTATGGGTTAATTAGTAAACATTGTATCAGTAAACCATTATTATCCAAAAAAGATTCTTACAATCTAAAAATATTTTTCTGGTTTTAAATAACCTACAAATGATTGATAAGCCGTAGAACATGTAGCAATCAATCAATCAAATACTGATTAGCTACACAGGTATATCTTTTAAATTTATTTACATTCTCTGAAACATAAATGTATAGAAACTATCGTGGCCACAAAGTCAGTTTATATATATATTTTAATATGGAATTGATCCCTCACTTTATATTCACATTATAATTTCTTGTTTGTTGATAAGCTGTAGAAAACGAATCAATCAATCAATGAAATACTGATTAGCTACACAGGCATGTCTTTTAGATTTACTTTCATCCTCCGGAGTACAAATGTACACAAACTAACGTGGACGCAAAGTGAGGGATCATTTTATATATTGGTTTTAATATAGAATTTACCTCCCACTTTATATTCACGTTATGATATATTATTTTTATTATATACTATTGTTTGTTTATCAAATTCTGATCAGGTATGAATCCACCTCTTCCCCCTCCCCCCAAGGTATGGGTTCATTATTAAGACTCGTATTACTAAACTATTATTATCTCCAAAAAAGAAATTCTTACACTCTAAAAATATTTCTAGCTTTAAATCAATAGAACTAACTGCATTTTTAGTCTAGAAAATGCACCTCGTATAAAAGGTACTCCTATTTTCAGAAAGGCAACGAGCTCTAGAAAGATGTTAGAGGTGACACTGCAACCTTGTAAAACCTGTTGTACAAGAGGTTATGCTGTAAGATGCCTTTCCATTTGGACTAGTATACGCATTTTAATCGTGTGCATTTAGGCAGTAAACGTTCTTTAAATTAAATGTTATTAATGACAACAGACATTTTGTGCCGATTACTTTTATTGATCGACTTTTCCAAATTACGAATAATCCTTCTCAAATAAGGAGGAAATTCCATCAAAGCTTGTCCAAAGTTCATTTCGGAATAAATATGGTCCAAGTCTTCGACTTTCTTAAGTCATCATCAGGATAGGCAGAGACAAATTTGCGAGTGTTGCGACAGAGACAAAGAATGTTATGACGTAGGGAAGTTGTTTTATGTGTGTGTGAGTTTTCATATATACATATGAAGATGCGAGCTCTTAGATTATAATTGTTTTTATTTGAAGATATAGTAGAATCTCTGGCAACCTGGAGTAAGAAGGCCTTCCAGATATGTGGAATTGGTTACACAGTCCGGATATAAGGGGTTATATTTAGATTAAAATAAAAGAACTGAAATCCGGTTTAACATTTATTTTCAATGTTTTATAGCAAACAAAATAAGCTAATGGTGAGTGAAATATAACGGAATTGATTTTAGGAAAAAGAAATAAAGTATGTTAATGAAAATTCATTAAATTAAGTATGCCACGTATGCAAAACAAATAATGTAACGAGGATTTTTTAATCGTTGTTGCATGATGATTCTTTCTCTTCTAATGTGAATCTCAACTTTTTCCGCATTTCGTTTTGCATTTGTTCTTGAAATTTTTTTAAGTGAAAGACACGTTTTAACTCTGTGTGTGTTATTGTAATCGTCATAGCTCAATGCTGGCTTTCTTTCCATAAAACTGACAACATTTTCAATAGCTTTTTCAATTTCAGTCCAGGTTTCATCACAATCATGCATCTCGTCGCTATCCTGTCGCAGATGTGTCTCATTGTCATCCTTTCTACTTATTTCCATCATCTTTTGCACCAAAACAAGCCATTAGGGTGAAATAAGCATAAGCAATTATCCAAAGTAAATTTCCTGAAAAACAGAGATTTCAAATCAGTTACATATCACTCAAATAGTTCAAAGATATACATCAAAATCATGTTCGGATATGCGGGATTCCGGATATGAGGGATTCTACTGTTTTTGTTTTGTTGCATGTGTAATACTTCGAGGCACGTTGTTTTGTATGTGTATTACTAATGGGCAAGTGGTTACGACGTTCGCATTCTGACCATGAGTCTCAGGTTCGAATCTCACCATGTCAGGAAGGAAACTACCTGATGTTATCGACTGGAGGGGACGATTCCAGTGTGTGGTACATTTGGAAAGTGCCTGAAAACCATACCATGGGTTGACAGTGAGCCTTGTGAGTGAAATTGGGTAGACGGTGGTTACAAGTCATCGTGGCCGAGGGCTTGAGCACGCTGGCCTTGTTCAAAATTGTTGATCACGATAGATAACACACTCTTTCTGCGCAGTATAAACCACATAATAAATACAATGCACTTGAGCAAGCGTCTGCAGTAGGGATTGGCTAGCCACCCTATAGACAGGTATCCTCGAATACGAGTGGCCAGCTATACATATATTACTTCGAGGTTCTGTTTTTACGATTTGATTTTTCTAGTATTTTGATACTATTTACATTATTCGGACTATTGTTCTCATCTTTGTCACCATATTTATTACAACGTTTCGGCCCTTCAGTATCTGTCTATATTTCTGAGATGAGGTATTATGTACACTATTTACATTATTCGGACTAATGTTCTCGTCTTTGTCGCCAGATTTATTACAACGTTTCCGCCGCTGTACGCTTTTTAGCTGTTATCATTGCATGTTTTTTACCAGAGATCATATGAGCACTGGTAAAAAATGATCGTTGAAGACATTAGGTTTATAATACCCAGAAATTCATACACAGATGTCCTCAAGGACACATGGCACAGTGTTAAAGTCGTTAGTTAGATCCAGTGAAAGGACTCAAAGAATGTGAGTTCAATCCTGGGTTAAGGCAGTGGGAAACGTGGTAATTGACATCCATTAAACGTGGAACTAGAACAGTGTACCCCAGTGAGCGAAATAAAGGGTAGAGTTCGACATTCCAACCACCTGAAGAAGGTCGGAGCGTACAATGGTCGAAACGTTGTAATAAATATGGCGTCAAAGATGAAGACAATAGTTCGAATAATGTAAATAATGTACATAATACTTCATCTCAGAAATATAGACAGATAGTATTTTGATATTGTTGGTCAGTATCTGTCTTATGCTGCTTATTAATATGTTGACTGGTGGCACTCTGGTCCGATAAGTGGCATTGTCATTGTAATTGTTATACTAAAAACGTTAAACATCCGACCAACTTCAGGTTTCTATCACTATAATTGTTAAACGTTGTGAATTTTGAACCGAACTAAATCCACGGGTCAGATTGTTCTCATTCGGCCCTCCACGTTAATGGGATATCTCATACCAATTAAATATTCACCTTTATGTCGTTTGTCTGTTTCTTCCACTTAACCAGAGTCTAGGATTTCTTCACATTATTCGATGTGTACCAAGAAACCAAATATATTTTAACCAACGTTTAAATCTGCTAGGTTAATGAATGGTGTCATTTTGAAACTCTAAACTTAACATCTGTACTCAGGTGGTGGAATTGTGAGTGTCTTTTCTTTCTTAATAAGAAACGGTGCTAATCATTATGCTAGGTCTACTGAGGAGATTGTCACAGCCTAATAAATACTTGATTAGCCTCAAAAACTACACCATAAAATTGTTCAGATATCTGTCATTACGCAAGGACAAATATTTTAGTCTAGAGAATACTGCAGAGTTAAGTGAAGTTGGAAGGCGTGTTTCCACATCATTGGTTTCCGACTACAAATGGCCATAACCCCGAAACAAAAATGCTTTACATGAAGTAAGATTCTTAGTCTTTATGACCTTAAGTATATATGAGAAATGCTGAAAAGTTCTTGGTTCGATCCACTTTGTAAAAGCTGACCAAATGGTTAAATCCCAAGCTTTTGTGGGATGTGGAGAAGGTATCCTTTTCAGTTGAACTGATATCTTTTCGTATATGGATGCCGAAAAGTTTTCGGCCCGACTCCCAACCCAAAATCTGACTACATAACTAAATATTAGATTACTTTTTCTTTTTTCTAGAGCTAGTCCCCTTTTTTGTCGAGCCCAGATATTTTAGTATATACGAGGGGGATGCTAAAAAGAAAATTGTCCAAATATTCATCTTTTTTTTCTTTCTTTTTTTTTTTTCAAGAAAATGTATTCTTGATCGGGTCAAAAACCTTTCTGCACCTTCTCGTAAAACGTTGGAAAATTTAAACACGTTTTATACAAAGAAAGGTACGGCATATTTTCGAAGGTTTACGGCAAATAAGACTACTGTCCTTTTTCCTCAAACATGGATTTTCCTGGATTTTATATGCAAAGATGAAGTAGGCTAATATTTACTCAGAAACTGTTAACTTCAATGGCCTTTTTAAAAATCAATTCACCTCAAGCAAGGTGATAATGCCGCAAAGACGTAAGGGTTTATTGGGAGGGAAATAGACTAAGACTTCTGTGAAGAGAAAGGACAATAAAAGAACAGGCATCAAGAAGAGAGAATAATGGTGATTGGCGTTGCATTTAAATTTTTGAAGATCTTCGGCGACAGGGAAGCAAGAAACCGAAAGAGAGTTCCACAGGCAAGAAGTGCGAGAAAAGAAACTTTTAGACCTGAACTTGCGGTTACATCTAGTTCAAAATGGTATAACCTAGTTACGTAACCGAAATATTTGATAATTTAAACGTAACTAAATAAATAATGAAGAGATATGTGCCAACAAATAAGGTGACGAGATTTTATGAGATTTACTCAGCAGAATATTATATGAACATGAATATTAATTAATTTAAAATAAATACGCACAAAAACTTAGACCCTTGTACAAATTACTTAAAACAATCGTTTTAGTTTCCTTTCTTTCACCATACTGTCAGTTTTAGGCCCACTAGAGTGACACGGTGTAATAGATTTCTATTTTTTCCTCAGATTAGGTCATTTGCAGTGGTGTTCAGTAATATGAATCTATTTTCGGGATGTATGATGAAATTTGACCTTGTGTTTTAACCTAAGGAAGGTTACTGAATAGAATAATCAAACGAAGGTTGATAATGAACGATAATACTTAGTACAAGAACAACAGATATGAGATTCGCCAGCGGCGCGTAGAAGTAGTCCACTGCTAGAAGTGAGTCACGTGAATTCCACAATGAATTTCCAACTACAGGATATCTACCAACCACCCCACGCGGTCAGATGTGGCGCAAGGTCGAATTTAATGTGGACTCAGCCAAAAAATCCCCGTAGACACCGTATAAAACGGTGTCGAGTAGCTGTTTCCCGAGACGATATTCTGCCCTTCGACATAGCCTCGTCTGGGGATCCTCTCTGCCCGGAGGCAGAGAGTTTGACCATCACAGCTGGAGATGAATCTCCATCTGAAGATCAACATACAGTATTTACTACTGTATTTATGTGAATGGGGACATACACATTATCGTCCTTAGGTATGCTATAACAACTTTAAAAATAATGCGTCATCCGGGATTATATCAGATTTTCATCACGCCCAGAAACTATTGTCTCGACTGTCGATTAGTTGTCCTACAGCCATTGTCTGCGATGGACGTTACTCCAAGGAAGTGTACGAAAATTGTAACGCTGCACGAACACACTGGCAAGCCTTACCAGTGAATAAATTAAAATACTATAGACTGGCCCTGAAACTTTCCTGATTTTAATCCAGTCGATAATCTGTGGTCAATCTGCAAGAAACGGCTTCGTGGAATGGACATACGAAGTATTAACATGTGCACTGGGTCATGTTTCATCGGAAAAATACGAAAAAAAAAGTAAATAATAACGGAATTATTCGTTTTGTTTCAATTAATTTGCAAAAGAGACTATTGTATTTAAAGATCGATAGTCAAATCAAAAACATTTCGTTCCATCTTTTTTTCTGGGCTAAAACTATATTTTCTATCACCTTAACATCCAACTTCCTTTGACTTTATCTACTTGATCTCGGAGCTTCAAAGAGGTACGATACGGGTACTTCGTTATCGGGGGGTGGCCACCAGTATCGATCCTAATTTTCACCGTATCAGTTCTACGTAGACCTTTATCTATAGTCGCAAATAATTCCAAATCAAAGTACTATAGACTGACCCAGAAACTTTCCTGATTTAAATCTAATCGGTAATCTGTGGTCACTCTGCAAGAAACGACTTCGTAGAATGGATATACAAAGTACTAACATGTGCACTGGGTCATCGGAAAAATACGAAAAAAAGTAAATAATGACGGAATTATTCGTTTTGTTTCAATTGATTTGCACAAAGGTGTAGTTCATCAACTTAGTTCACCGAGCTATACTTGCAACTTCATTTGTCATGATTGCGACGTTCACACTAGTGAGAAGTTCAGTCGATCGACAGTAACTAAAGTGAGTTTCGACCAGCTGCGAGCTAAATTTGCACATGGGACTGAATTGCTGGCAGTGTATCTAGTGCTCTTAAGACTGACGTCAACGCAAAAGGCGATGGGATCTCCCGATGAATGCAGCAGCCAAAATGCACGAATTTTTCTTCCCCGAATCGAGAACACGAACTGCTTTTATTAGCCGAACATTGTTTCCATTCGTCGACAACTGGGAGAGGATGGATTTTTGCATATCAAAATACTTTTATAGCGACTCCTGCGACTGACTTGTTTTTAATTTTCATATTCCGTCTTCAGCATGTCATACTGAATACATGCCCTTTTTTGGTAAGTAATTTTCTTTTTCGGCACATTTTCCGTCGTAGGATACACGCGACATGCTGTCGCTTGGTTTGACGAGGTAAGTCACCGTTTTATTCGGTATAATCCTTCAAATCATCGGCTTTAATATACCCTAAAGAGTTATGGACTCAGCCAGAATTATTTTTGCCCAATACACGCTATGTATAAAAGAATACATCCTGAGACATGTATAGGGAGCTGGTCAAGAGCTCAAAAGCGTAATGACCCTACAACAATATTTGGTCATAAGACTGAAGATTATGGGGTAATGTACACAAAATTGCCAAACATAATCCATGTTTAGTTGTTGAATATTGGTTTACACACACCGTACTGAATATTTTCATTAAACAGATGTATCCCAGAGCTAAGAGTCTGGGTGACAGTCAGGTGACACCTGTCTCTTCTTCCTGGGTGAGGGATCAATTCCGATGAGTTCTACACCCGTTACGCCGTTTATGCTAACAGTCGCTGTATAACGGTTAGGTGACACCTGTCGCTCCTTCCAGGGTGAGGTATCAATTCCGATGAGTTCTGCCCTCTTTATGCCGTTTCTGCTAACAGTCGCTGGATAACAGTCAGGTGACACCTGTCACTCCTTACTGGGTGAGGGATCAATTCCGATGCGTTCTGCCCTCATTATGCCGTTTACACTAAAAATCGCTGGATGACGGTCAGGTGACACCTATCGCTCCTTATTGGGTGAGGGATCAATTCCGACGAGTTTTGCCATCTTTCTGCCGTTTATGCTAACAGTCGCTGGATGACGGTCAGATGACACCTGTCACTCTTTACTGGGTGAGGGTCAATTCCGATGAGTTCTGCCCTCTTTATGCCGTTTCTGCTAACAGTCGCTGGATAACAGTCAGGTGACACCTGTCACTCCTTACTGGGTGACGGATCAATTCCGATGAGTTTTGCCGTCTTTATGTCTTTTATGCTAACAGTCGCTGGTTGACGGTCAGGTGACACCTCTCGCTCCTTCCTGGATGAAGGATCAATAATCAATTCCGATGAGTTCTGCCCTCTTTATGTCGTTCGTTTATGCTAACAGTCGCTGGATGACGGTCAGGTGACACCTGTTGCTAATATCACCCGTTGAGTGATCAGTTTTGTCTCTTTTACGCCGTTCATGCTGGATGCTATTCCTTACCTAATTTTACCCACATTACTCCGTTAGCTTTCATATTTCATTTGATAATTGCCATGGTATTTTTGGTGATTAATACTGAAGAGTTTGCCTTCTTGACGATGGTCCATTAAGGCACCTGCTGACCGAGAGTATATTTGCCCTTTGATAGATGTTACTTTTCATCCTGTTGGGTGGCTAACTGCCCGCCTCATTCGTATCCGACTCAGTCGACGATACACCAAAAGTAGAAAATATACTTATATATAAATTTTTGGAAAAAAACAAATTTCACTTGAGGATGAAACAGAGCTTTCGGCTCTCGTTTTTGAAACATGAGAACTCTTATGTAGCGAAGGAATCATATTTTTTTTTTAAATAATTATAATTTAGGCTCTAGTTTTGTATTGAGCACTTTTTTTAAAAGAATAAAAAAAAATGCTAAAGAACTCCGGATTAATTACTTAACGTGTATTTTTCTATATATTTGCACACACACACACACACACACACACACACACACACACACACACACACACATATATATATATATATATATATATATATATATATATATATATATATATATATATATTAAGAAGAGGTAATCATACACTGAATCAATTAGTAATATTAATTAATGGCGAATTCTCTTCGCTAACAGACTTAATATAAGCATTAACTTACTAATAATTCATCATTGAATGACGCGATCCTTATGTTAAAAATTGTTTTCAGATCTGGTATATTTTTAGAGCTGCAAGTAGTTTCAAAATCTTCAAGTTCTCATCGTCAGGCTGTAATTAATTCTGTCAGCGAAGAGAATTCGCCATTAATTACAGTAATATTACTAATTGATTCATTGTATGATTACCTTTTTATAATATAAAACATATGCTGCCCAATATACTACTCTCTCTATATATATATATATATATATATATATATATATATATATATATATATATATATATATATAATTTACTCATCTTAAAATAAGCACAGTAGCTTGTCAGGCGTTTTTAATGAAATTTTAATGAAAGAGGGATTGTTGCCCAAATACACAATTATTAAATTACATGCCCTAACAGGAACAATGACAATAAATCGGATTGCCTTGTCAGTCCTCTTCCATGGAACTTGTATAAAAATGGAAATGCTGCCCAAATACACAAGTGATAATTTCCATGACCCAGGAGACAAAAAGAAAACAAAATCGATGTGCCTTGTCAGTCCTCTTCAATGGAAGTTGTATAGAAGAGGAAATGCTGTCCAAATAAACAATTATTAAATTACATGTCCTGGATGGAACAAGGACAGTAAATCGCAGAACATGTCAGTCATCTTGAACAGACGGAGATAGATAGATAGATAGATAGATAGATAGATAGATAGATATGAACAGAATTAGATAGATAGATAGATAGATAGATAGATAGATAGATAGATAGATAGATAGATAGATAGATTTGAACTAAAAAAAAAAGAATAAAATCATGAACTAAAAGAGAAAGAAAGTAAAAAAACAATGAACAAGCGGAAAAATTGTTTATAAAAAGAAAATAAAGCAGAAGTTAATCCCACTAAAAATAATTCAATTTATTAACAAAACCCATTTCGAAATTTCAGACCAAAAAGAAAATCCTGCCAGTGTGTTTTCGGAAGAATCAATTTAGATAATCCCTAATGGAATTTCATTTCATGGATTATTCAGCAATTAATCATGACGTGAGATTTCAGTTTCTTTCACGAACCCACATTGTTCCTTTACTGGCAATGTTTCAATCTAAGATGTGCCATCACAATTTACGATAGATTTGTCTAGAATTTCCTAGTGAAAATCAGTTGATCTATTGAAGGTATTTCTCAAATAAGGAAATTCAGTGAAATTGTCTTTAGAATGATGTTTTCTTAAAATACGAAAAATATTTTCTTAAAAACGTCACTGAATTGTACTTCTTTGATGCTTCCATACTTGTAATAGCAGCAGGAAGCAAAAGGAAGTAAATATTTACAACTGAAGAATTTTTTTTTTATTTCAGATTTGAAGATGAGTGCAAACTTCTTTAGATAATAATGACCTGAGAAGTAGGTACATATGGCCTAATGATGAACATAGATGTATGATGATAGATAGAGATGATAGATAGATAGATATTTAGATAGATAGATAGATAGATAGATAGATAGATAGATAGATAGATATAGATACAGGAGATAGATGAACAT